AGTTGTGGGGAGAGATGCAATGTAGCTGCTGAGGGAGCAAGAGGTCTGGGCATCACTGGTAAGCCAAGACAATGTGGAGATACATAGATGAATAGAAATGGGTTAATAATTAAGAGAGAACTAGCCAATAAGAAGCCTGAGCAATAGGCCAAGCAGTTTATAATTAACATAAGCCTCTGGGTGTTTGGGATGAAACAGCTGCAGGACTGGGTGGGACAGAAACTTTGGTCTACATCTGTGCTCTCATAGAAGCTGAGCAGTATTGTTTATGGCACACGACATTTATTGTCTTATTGTTGTGTGTTTTGTGTGTACCACCCTATCTACTGCAGAAAGTTTGTTTTCACTTTGTAGACTTTGCATAAATTTTTGTGGAGAAGCAAAAGCGGGATGGACCCAGGGCCTCTCACAAGCTAGGGCAGGACTCTGCCCTAGAGCCAAGCTACATCCCCAGTCCTCATACTTAGTTGGTTGAAAATTCATGTACAGTTACATGATGTTTTAAATCTAGAATTTAAAATGTCATAGTTCTCTGTGGTTATGGTTGGGTCAGTAACATCATTGTTGTGCTGAAGTCAGGTTGTAGGGAAATCATGAGTATGGATGGGATGAAAGGGAAAGAATCATAGGGAGAGGAGAACTAGTGCCCTGTCCTGATGGGGGACTGGATCTGAGTCAAGACACTAACATGGAAACTGTTTGTCTAAGTGGAGAAAAGAGGAAACAGATATTTCAAATAAAATACAGTGATGAATAAATTTAACTATTCTTATCACAAAAGCACTGCATGGCCCAATGCAAATGCTACTTTTGTAGAATTAATGACTACTCTGAAACAAAAAAACTCTGTTATATATAATGCATATATACCCTTGATTATTTGTTCCTTATAAGAAGAATCACCTAGTCAATATAAATATGAGCATGAGACTCGGAATCAGAACAAAACCTACATATTGTCCCTAGAAAATTTGATAAATATTAACATATGGTGAAAGTGGCATCTAATCAGAGATGTTCATGGTATAGGAACATTCAACACTTTTCTGATGATTGACTTATTTTCTCTGGAGTTAGATGCTGTCAGAGAAGCAAGAGTATATATCTTTATTAGTCTGGAGATTATAGGTGAGTTCTGAGCATCTAGATGGTGGCAAGAGAAAGTTACAGACATAGGAACAGGAAGACATGTCACATGGAGGCTGCCTGGCCCATGATGGAGTTGCTAAGCACAACTGGTTACCATAATGTCTCAGCACATTCACAGGAACATAAATACACAGACATAGAAATACTAACACACTAAAGCAATATCCCAGATTTTGAGGTCTGCTTCATAGAAGGAGACAGAATGAATGAAAGAGCTGCAGGGTGGGGGAAAATCTGTGATGTATCATTTCCTGGACATTTGTCACAAGACCTGCATAACTTCAAGTCAACTAAAGTGTTGACATATATGAGGGAGGTACTCTCCAGGACCCATTACTTACTACTTACTGAGTATCTATTGCCAGTTGTTATCTGTCAATAGACGGGCCAGGAGAATTCTTCTTTTATGAGAGTTTGGACAATGGTAGATCTCTCATGCTCCAGTGGGTGGCCCTACACCTGTGTGTATATGGGTAGAACTAATTGAACCTACATTCTTTCAAAAAAAGACATGAAGTTGAGAAGAGAGCATGTCAGGGGGCTATGGAGAGTGGTGGATAGAGGAAATGGGGGTGGATATAATGATATCTCATTGTACACATGAACAATATTCTCAAAGCAAACAATATTCTAAACACTTTGTCATTGCCCTCTATCCATCCCTTCTCACCCACACACACAAAAAAGATAACTAAATAGAAATAAGAGGGAGAGAGAAAATAACCAATAACAAGCATTTCTGGGCAATGACGGAAAAAATAATTCCAACTTTTTAAACTTCTTAAAAACCAAAAGAAATATGAAGATGGCCAAAGTAATTATGAGGCTATTTCTTAAAATTTTAGATAAAAACAAAACTGAAACAACCTGCCGCCCCCCTCCATGATTTTTTAAACTTCTTCCTTTCCTTCTGGGGAGTCTTAAAGGACACACATTAGAATTTCTTTTAAAAATATAATCACATATTCACCTAAATGATAAACAGTGGAATTCTGAATAGTTCATTACAGTCCTCTTGATCAGACATCCAGTGCACAGGGGGAAAAGCTCATCCAGGGGAGCCGCACTGATTTCAGATCACGCATCTGAAATGTATTGAACCGAGTCTGTTTCTCCATGACTCCCTATTCCTGACTTCCTCCTGGGCACTGTCCATCACACAATCATGAATGCCTCTATCGTTTCCACCCGGACAGTGAGACCTCACAACACAGCCACGGTTCCCGTCTTTCTGTCGTTGTCAGAAAGGAGGCTGAGTTTTCAAAGTGTCATGCCTGTGTAAATGCTGATGTATAGGCCACAGTTGTTTCTCTGAAAAGGCCTTCAGAGGCCGCCCCTTTCCTCTGTTCCCTTCAAGTTGGGAATGATACATCAACTGGCCCCAGCAAGAAAAGAGGTCAGCCTGAGGTCTTGGGCCTTTGACCTCTGTGAAGAGAAAGGTCACAGTGACAGCAAGTGTGTGAGCTCTGGAGCAGAAGCCACAGGCACAGAGACCCAGTGGATTGGAGGGGGGCTGGTGGGAAAGAGTGGGTGTTTAGAAAAGTGAGGAGTATATTTCTAAGAGACTCAGTGGTTCAGCTGACAAGCAGGGTCAGGGGTCATATTTATGCTTGATTCCCGGAGCACGTTACTGTAACGTCTGCTTATTAAGGGTCTTCAGGGAGCAGGCCACAGGACCTAATGTTTCTGACCTTTTTCCTCAAAAGGGGACAGGCTAAGAGATTAGGGGAGCCCTATTAACTTGTGTGCTTGACTTGAAGGCTGCTCCCCACTCTCTTGGGCATTTCCTGCCAGGTTCACCCCATTTCTTTTTATAATCTTGCTACATATTTAAATTAATCCCTTGCCTGGCAGTGGGGCAGAGTTTTAGCTCCAAAACAGAAAGTTAGTTTTTAATTGTGAAAAATCGTGTCAGAAAGTATAGATAGGAAAGAAATCTTAGAGGTGGGGGGAGGTCAAAAAATTCTTCATGTGCTAAAAAAGTTTACATTTCTCGGGAATTGCTCAACTGTTCGTATTATAAACAAAAGCAAAAAGAACGATTGTAATTGAGTTGATCACATTCTTTGATAAGCCGCCTCACGTGAGAGATGTTTTCATTCATCTGTTGGGGACTCATCACTTCATGTGAAAGTTTGAAATGGAAACGAAATGAAAACAGAACCCATAGTCAAGGGATCCTGAAAATTGGATATTGGTCTCCTTTTGTTAGCTGTGTTTGAGTTGTTTTTAACTTCTGAATTAAAATGTCCCTTTCAAACATCCTAGTTATTTTTCAGGTCACCTGAGAAATGAACCTTTTGTATGAAAAGAGTCATTCCTTCCTACTGCTCTGACGAAATTGGTAATAGACCAAAGCATTGGATAATTTCTGTAAAACTGGCTGAAGGAAGAAGAAAATGTGCCAAGATGCTAACTTTCCCTTCACCACCTGAAAAAGTCCTCTGTGGGGCACATTTTCCTTTGGTAATAATTACCAGACTTCTGTGTTCCTGATGTCAGTGATATTTTGAATGGAGGCTATGTAAGCCTTCAGACCAGTTTTACTTAATCTCTTGATGTCGGCATAGGCCTGAATTTCATGAGCATATATAGTTAATGTGTTAACCACACACATGACATTCTAGCCCCAAACCTCCCACAGAGGAACAAAAAAAAAATGGGCCAAGGATATTGAAGTTAGACAGTATTATTTTTAGATAGAAAAAAAAAAAAGCTAAAATAAGTGAGTGACATCACATATCACAGCACCCTCTGGGTTCCATGGCCTTCCATGGCAAAGTTCACATGGTCCAATGTTGCATGCAACTGTATGAAAACATGTTTTCTATTTATAGGGAATTGCCTGGAAGGGCCAGATCCTCCTCTGAGGAGAATAAATTATTTCAAGGTGAACTGATGTGTGTGTGGGTGCTGTTTCCAAGGGATGCCTATGTTTATGAGTGTACATGCCTTTGGAGTCAGGGTGTTGGTGGTGCCTTGGTTGATGGGAGCTGTCTAAAACGACTTTGTGATTATAAATAATAATTAAAAAATTCAATCGGAAGTGCGTTCTGCCAAACTTCACAATACCCCTCCTAGCAGGACATGGAGCAATTCTTAGTTGGGGTCAGACCCACAAGCTTAAGGCCAATGAGTTCAGTGGGAAAAACGACTCTTCTTCGCAGTTTTGTCCCCCTTCCCTTTCTTCTTTCATTTGGAAGGCACCCCCTCATAAACATGCAGAGCAATTTTCCAGTACATTAACCCAGGAGGGATCCTCTCTCTGTCTGCTTGAGAGACAGAAAAGTTGAGAAACAGGGTGAGGGGAAGATGGATGGGCCTGGGATATAAGAGAAGGCAGTTTTTCCACTGTCCTACCCTGTACACCTAGGACAAAGGCTTCATTGACTGCCATGCTCCACATCAGTCCCATAAACTAGTAGTCTGAACAAAAGGGCTGACACTTGAAAGTACTAGTCTCAGCCTACTCTCTATTGCAGCTGTGCACGGGGGCCGGGCCTAACAGTGGTGTCCCTTTTTCAGCCCACAGGACAAGAAATGAAGATAAATAGTGTTGACTTTAATGTAGTCACACAATTTTGCTATTTCACAAACAACAACATTTCCCCCAGCCCCGCATCATGGCCCCAGGAGATGGAACCATCTTCCTTTTGGTCAGGGAGCCAGGGCACAGTGGACTTGGGATGGCTTCAAGGGGACAGGGCGAACAAGTAGCTGGAGGGGATGGATGAGGGATAAACACAAGATTCATGAGATCTGTTCCTTGCCCTCTAGGAGGAGGTGGGGTGGTTTTCATGCATTCCAGCTTAGTCACAGTGGTTTCTTTCATTTTCTTGAGATCCCTGGAAATGGCCCTTGAGGGGAAAAATAATGAATGCAGGAAGCAAGACTAAAAACGTGTACAATTACATGATTTAAAAGATTTTGCAAGAAAACCCACCATGGTATCAAGCCGATTATCAGAAGACCAGCAAGTACAACGCTTTCCCGGGAACGTTTTGGTAATAGGACTTTCAAACTAGCAACTTGAGTCAAAGGTAAGAGTTCAAGACCTCAGTGTGCTGAAGCCCTTGTGTGTCGCTGTGTGGTCTGTTGCATTTCCCTGCCACCATTGCCAGCAAGTGGTTACCAAGATTTCATCATGGAAGATCAGGTTTGAGTCAGCCACAGACATGGGCACTTGTCTGCAGCCAGGCCTTCAGTATGCATCCCTAAACCTGAGAGTATCCAGGCTCCAAAAATCTATTCAAAAGTATGATGGGAACAAAAGAAAATGAGTGTGTAAGCTTTGATGCCTACAGGCTTCAAGTGTTCAGACTGGACAAAAAGTCAGAGTTGAGCCATGCATGGTAATAAAAACTTCTCTTGAATCATCGGTACTGGAACGCAGGCCTACCACACATTATCTGGCTCTAAGATATGGATTCTAATTTCTATGGCTTTCCCCAAGTTGGAGAGCCTTTTGAGTGACTTGGATATGGACTCACTAGCTTTTTCTTCATCCTGGCATATGCCACCCCTGTAAGAGAAAACTGATGGAGGTGTGTCTCCTGGTGAACTTAAACCATTGTTTCCAAATTACTATTTCCCTAGAAACCAGTCCTTGTTTTGGTGTGTGTGTGGGGCCGATAACTAAAGATAAGCAAATAGTAACTCTATTTTGGAGGGAAATGTAAAGATAACATGAAAGACATTTCCATGTGATGATGACACATGAGAAACTTGAAAGTTTGTTATGTCTTTCTATGTTTGTGCATGACTATATGTCCCTTGGAGTCCAAACTTTTCCAGAGGGCACACAGTTCCACAGGCTTTCAGGACCAAGAATGCCTATGATGGAGAGATGGAAAGAAAAAGGAGAGAGGTGGGGGAGAAAAAGAAAAATATATATAGAAGACAGATTCTAGGTATCTCACTACACATGGGCAGTGGCTGTACTTGCCTTAGCTTTTTTTGTATATCCCACCCTATATTTCCCGTTCGCTGACTCAAATCCCAATATAAACCTTCTGCAGTGGGCTGTCCTGCAAGCTTTAAGTTTGAGAAGTTCTCTCAATGGATTCTTCTGATGTCCTTCATCCAGACAGGGACATTTCAGGGGCTCACTCTGAAGACCTCATTCCTAACCTATGCTCTTTTCATTGAGCCTGGGCAAGCAAGTCACCTTCCTCACTTGTTCTATTTGCAAAATGAGCAAGATGAACATATCTAAACAATGTCTCTTTCTTGTTGTCTACGTTCCGATGGTAACCTGCACCACAAGTAATCATGGGAAACAACATAGAGGGGTTTAGAAAACAGGCCATGGAAAGGTGTAATCTCAGGAAGGTATTCTGGGGCTGCATTGAGTCAAGGCGGTAAGCCTAACGTACCTAAATGTCCAAGCATTTCCTCCAGTTTATATTTAGGATGGTGTCAAGGAATTGGAATGGATATATCCTTTAAAGTTTTCTTAGCTCTACTTGAGGACACATAGTTTTAAAACCGCACCATTAAAAAACTTTTTTATTCCAGGCAAGAACTTTGGCATGTGGATGTCCCTGTGGGATTCTACCATTTGCCTGGTGTCTTTCCTCTGAATCAGAGTTTAAAAATTGTTTTAAATAAACATTTGTGTTCCAGCTTGCTGGAGATCTTATTTTCTGACAAAACTCTATTTCTCTTTGCATGATATAAAACTTTTATTTTTAGGTCAAATGGATGTTCCAATCCATCCTTTGAACACTGATAGAGGCTTTGGACACTCACTGTGACTTTGGTCTGTTTTGTTGGGAGTAGTGCTGAGCTGGCAATGCCTTCCCTTGTCTCTCACTCTGTTTCTTCAGCTAGACTATTGTCATAGATAAAAGGAAAAGATGCTGTTTTGGATGCAAAGACTGAAGAATTCCCTCTGTGCAAAGACACCAAGTAGAACCAATGTATATCATTGAAAACCCAAGGGTTGGCTTGGCTCTTGCCTTCAGTCTTTAGAAGAAGAGACTCCTAGGGACAGTCTGTGGTGACTTACGCTCCTTCATTGGAGATTCATGGGGCAAAGCCCAAATGAAGTAGGAAGTTAGCTGTTTCTGATCCTCTACTTTGCATTGCTCTATGACTCTACCTTCAATAATAATGAAATCAGTAAAAATTTTTGTTATGGCCACATTTAAATAGCCAGTGGCCTATCTCAAATCCAGTCACTAGCTCTGATTAGGAAAATGGACTACTTCTCTATCATGCTCCTTTTTAGATCCCATCTGTAATATTATCGTTATCTTTGTGGTCTGAACACAAACATTAGCCTTACCACTACATAGACTTCTTTTTTCCTCTGGCTTTCTATATGTTAGCAGTGATCAAAATCTGTGGAATTTCTTCTTCCTATGACCTGATTCTATGATTTCTATTTCTGGTGCCCTATTTACTGGAGATTCTCAGATTTTCAAGCCCAAACTATCGGAATAACAACCTGAGCTCTCCCCCCCCACACACATACACGCACATACGCATGTGCCATTCTTTTTTTGTATATGCTTAATATAATTCTCTGTTTCAGCACTCTTTGAGATGTGTTTCCGTTACTTATGCATCAGTCTTGCTTTTTCCGTCCAAGTCCTCTCATTTCTTTGTACATTTCAACTCACTGCCCTTAGCCAACCTACCTTGGTCTGTCTAAGCACCCACAGTCTTCCTTTGATACTATGTCCAGTAGTGGCAGTTACCATGTACTTTAGTTTTTCTGATTGAAGAAAGCATGAAACATTTAATATCGCCTTGTAGATGCTTTTAGAATTAAGATGCTGATAATAATTATCTTTGACTAAGAGTCATTCATGTCCTAGGAACTCTTCTGAAATATTGCTGGTGTTCATACATTTTGCAACTGGCTCTCTCAGTGGTCAGTGCTGAGGTTTCATTTTACTGAGTTATAGACAGATTTAGTGCAATAAGTTATGCCTTTTAATAAGACCCACAAAAGATTTTGAAGATCCAACAGGAGAGGTGACCACCATCCAGTGGGGGACATAGGTGTGAAAGGTCATAAAAGAAGAGTAGCAGGGTGGTCGTGTCACATGCCTTTAATCCCAGCACTCGGGAGGCAGAGGCAGGCAGATCTCTGTGAGTTCAAGTCCATCCTGATCTACAGAGCAGGACAGCCAGGACTACACAGAGAAACCCTCTCTCAAAAACCTAAAATGTACCAGGCCTTTTCTTTAGGTCTACCAACAAGCTCCCAAATCACGACACAGAGACTTATTAGTTTTGAATGCATGGCCTAACTTAGGCACATTTCTTGCTAGCTCTTTTAACTTAAATTAACCTGATTCTCTGTATCTACCTTTTGCCTCGGGAAATTTTTACATTTTCTTCCTTTCTGGGTCTCTCTCTGTCTGGTTGGCTGGCAGCTGCCTGGTTTCTGGCCCTGGGTGTGTCCCCCATCCTCTTCCCCTCATTCTTCTCTCATTCTTCTTTGCTCTCTAGATCCTATATTTCTCCTCTTATTTATTCTTCCTGTCTGCCAGCCCTGCCTATCCTTTCTCCTGCCCAGCTATTGGCTGTTCAGCTCTTTATTAGATCAATCGGGTGCCTTAGGCAGGCAAGGTGAAACACATCTTTACATAAACAAATGCCACATAAACAAAGTAACACACCTTTACACTGACTAATATTCTGCAGCATTAATAAATGTAAGGAGTTTTTGCCCAGTTAAATAATATTCTACAAGAAAAAGAAAAATAAGAAGGAAGAGAAGAGTGACTTCAGTATTTTCCCTGTGGTCAATAAGGGATGCTACACTTTTTGTTTCACATTATCCTGTTGTCTGAGTTCATGTTTCTGTCTTCAATCGGACACCAAGGTCTCTGAGGATGGATCTGCATTTGTTGTCCATCTCCATTGCCTTCAGCGTTTCATATAGTGGACTTGTTTATTTTAGAATTGCCTTTTGTGGCTGTGGGCAGAAAGGCTATGCTTCAGTGTTGTGGCTGCTTAGAGCATGTGGCATGTATATCCAACAGAAGCATACTCATAATACTTTCTGGCTGTAATTCTTTATGAACTACTTTTCTGCTTGTTCCTGTTCATTTATCCTAATCATGATGACTTTCTAACTGAATTTAGATTTGCAGTTAGGTGAGCTGATAGGATTTGCCAAAACTTCGACCAACCAAGTGGCTGTTATCTAAGTTTTCATTCTGGTGGTGTGGCTTTGATCTTGGGTCAGTTACTTTCTCACAGGGTTGTAAGGAATGCTAATCACAATTAAAAACATAAAGCAACCACAGCAAAGTCTGACACATTGAAATGCTGTGAGAATGTTAAACATGCCACTGTCATCGCCTCTCCTACCATCATCCTTTTACCATCCTCAATCATGACCGTAGGTCTCCAAATGCCATTGCCTATTAGTGACTAAAATGGTGATCATGTTCTTTTGTAAGACTTAGTGTCTATGTGTGTGTATCCATGTGTAAACGTGCAGTGTGTGTGTCCATGTGTATGTGCAAGTGCACAGAGCTGTGCATATGTAGAGGCTGAAGGAAAGTGTTGGATCCCTTAGACAAAGATTCCTTAGTTCCAAGCTGTTGGGAACTCCAGCTTGTTTTGTGGATACTTGTATCCAAACTCCTGTCCTCATGGCCACACAGCAAATCCTTATAACTGCTGAGCCATATGTCTAGCCCCATGGCCATAGTTCTTATAGTAACAGCCCTACAGTTGTGTAGGCTTGCTAGTGGATTTATAATAGCAAATTCAGTTAATCTTCCAGAGCAAACTAATGTACTTTATTAACACAGAAATGGGTGTCCTTGTTTCTCCTGGACCATATGTGCATTCTACAGTGTTTTCCTCTCACAAAAAGTATGTGTGGTTCTTGTATAAGCCCCCCTTTCTGTTCAGCGTCTTCCTCTGCACAGCACACTTGAATCAAGAGTGGCTTCCACCCACATGCCACTCAAATTCATGTTAAAATTAGTACCAATGGACACCCCTGACATGCTTATGCTAAAGTTTAATTTGTTGAAGATCAGGAACATCTTCACAAATCCTTCTGCTC